GTATTAATTATTTTTTAGTGAACAGATGTTCAATTCTCATTTGACCCAGACTTTAGAAGTAAATTTTTATTACAGTATCTTTTTTTTTTTCATTTACCTATGTGCGAAAGTGATAGTGACTGTACTGAGGGTGTATTCATGTTTTTAAAAAGGTCAAACTAAATTTCCTGACCAGGTGTTAGTCTTCTCTCTGGAGGAGTAAAATGCGTTGCTAAAAGTGATAAATTATAAAAGCAAGAAAGATAGCTTCAAGAGATAGACACTTTACTGATAACCGAGGAGATATGTTTTATTGATTCATTGTTGACCATTCCAGGAGAACATGCTTAACAGGATGAGTGATTCAGAGGAAGAGATTCTTTCTCACACAGTGAGTGACACTTACTGTTGTCTTCTCTGAGTGAAAGCTTCCCTTGTCACTGGTGTGGAACTGTAGACCAAGCCAAGTGACTGGAAGTCTATGGCTCCTGTTTCCATTACAAGACTTCCAAATGCTCTAAAACAGTTATCACTACAGTAGAATTTTATAAACACTTCTTTTATGTGATTTTTATATTACCCTAGAAAATACAATGTGCCATTACATTATAGCCATTAAAAAGAAGTGTTGGTTTGTGTCTCCTGTGGTCCAATATTATAGTCAATATGCATTTCACAATTAAGAAGCCCATTAAGAGAAAATGAGGGAATGAGAGATAATCTGAATTTGTCTTCCATTAACTATATCATATTATATGCAATTTTAATTTTATTATATGCCATTCTCTTTTTATGAATAGATTGAAATCATAGACTAGTGGTTGGAACAGAAAGGCTAAGCTCTGGTGTAGCACTTTTCCAGCTTGCATTCCTTCCCCAGCAAAACTGATGTTTTATCACCCACGGTAATGTGCTCTTTTGAGAAAAACAATGGATACTTGAAATATCCATTGATTTAGCTTCTTTGCAACATCCTAACCTGTGTTTTGTCTGTTTCTGGGTAATGCTTGCAGGCAGCACAAAAGGAGGAGCAGTGAATTTGGTTTATCACCAGACCTGGAAAACTCTCTAGCTTAGATTTTTCATGAAACACATATCTAGAAGTTTCCCTGGAATAATGTCTATAACCCATTGTAAATGTAGTGGTGGATGGGCATGGAGGTGAAGTTTTTGTGGGAATAGTTGCTAAATAAGAGAAACTAGTTTTGTTTCAGACTTGAAGCTGTGAGAGTAGCAGGTAATTTCCCCATGATTACTTCTCCTAGAATTTCCCTGCTTTACTTCCTTGTCCTGAAAAAGCCATTTCTTTCTTTTTATTGATCTAAAAATTTAGAGCAGAAATACTGTATTTTACCAAGAGATACTAATATGCTGAAGATATCCTACCCTTAAATAAATTGGATATGCCCACATAGCAAGAAGTATGTTCAAGTATTTCTTCTCTCTCTTTTCCAGTTAACTCATTCTCTTTAAGATGTTGCTTAAATCGAATGGAATAAGGTATTAAAGTTTCATAATCATGGAGAATAATCTCCAAGGTTTACTTGCTCACATCAGGTTAATCAGCTCCACCTTACTGTAATTCTAAGAAACTATGTTGAGAGTACAGATTCATTTTAGGTGAATATTTAAGAAGAACCATATAGATGCCAGAAATTTTACTAGAGTATCTTACTAAAATGTATGTAATAACACAACAAGGCATAGCTAATCATCACAAAAACCATCAGAAGTAGCTGGTGTTTTCCCTGTGTGTGAGTGCTACTTTCTTCAGGTCCCAGAGTGGTTAGTCATTTTTACACTGTTTATTTAGCTCTTACCTGGTGGTACTGGATACTGTGCTGACAGCTCTGCCTCTGTTGTGTTGTTTAATTCACACCGCGGCCTTATGAGATAGATGGTTTCAAATCCATTTTCACACATTAGGGACCAGTGGTTGAGAGGAGTGAACCTACTTTCTCAAGACTATTGCTTGGTGAGGGAGTTTGAGAATGCCCTGTTGGTCTTAAATTCTGGCTCCAATTCACAATGCCCCCTTCTCTGAATTGTGCAGTGGTGGTGCCTTGGGCAGACACCAGTGCCTGCAGTGACTGGTTGCTGTCTCTGTTTGATCTGTGGCCTCAGCGGGGTGTGTGTCCTCCTAACGGTATAGCTCCTGTGAAGGTGCTAGGCATAGGGGCTGTGTGTAGCTAGTTCCTGGTTGCTGCTTACCAGCCCAAGGAGAGCCTTGGAAAGTGCCACTGATTCTCTGTGCAGGAGCTCTGCCAACACTACCACTCACTTTTCTGCTCATAGCTCCTCTAGCTGAAACTTTACTTGAGCTTCTCCAGACGTCTCATTAAACACAAAGAAAGGAAAATTTATGAAGGCAAAGTCGCAGATGCAGTTTAAAGTGTCTTATTACAAGTAATATTCATTCCCCTTTTCCAGAGGATCAGCTTCAAGTTGATGCATGGAAAGGAGGGATAAGTAAAATTCTAAATAATGGAAAGCAATCAACCTTGGAAACTCCCTGCAGCTAAGTATGGGGCAGAGATTGTCCTATTGACAATGTGTTAAATCTAAATTAGCCATGTTCTTGCTTCATGAGTTATGGTATGGGACAAACAGCGAGGACAGAGTAAAGTGTATTTTGGCTTTTCCATTGGGCCTTTCCAGAATCATCATTAAGGATATTGCAGGTCTCACATAAAAGGATCATTTTGCAGTTGCTTGCCAAAGTATCTGCATTGTGTGTCTGAATCTAAATGGTGGCCAGTGGTTCTTTTAGACCAAGCTTCCAGGTGTAACTGATCATTTTTTCATCTGTGATCCTAAAGACATTTACTTTTATTTATGGATCCTAATATCCTGCCAAAATGTATTTATAGAAGTGCTTTTATTATATATTTATTTTTGAAGTTTTTCTTTTGAAACAGCTGCTCATTAAAATGTGTAGGGCAAGTATTATATACTTCTTCCTGTTGTTTAGATTCTGGTCTTCTGGGATTTTGAGAGTCAATATGCTTAATAGTTTGCTTTAGAGGAAAACTGAAAAGATAAAAAAAGTAAGTGAGCAGAATTGATAATGTATCCAAATCTTGAGAGTGATTATAAAAGTTCAGATTGAAACCCTATTTTAGTGCAACACTGGTCTCTGTTACCCATTATTGATTTCACAAAGTAGGAGCTTGAATATCTTTCCTCTGACTCTTTAATCCTTGTTTTAGTGCAGAAAGTATGTTGAAAAAGGATCTTTGATGTCTTATGACAGGAAACTCATGAAATTGCATTCAAGGATGTAGCTCAGGAAGAACAGTTTCCCAGACACTATCGACATAGTGCCTTGTGATTTCACATTTGCTTTTTGTCTTTGAAAGCTCGAATGGCTCAGACATCCCAGCTCACAGTTGAGAGTCCTATCATCTAACACTGGCACATCCTATCCTGCCTTAAATTCTGTGGCCATATAGATTGCCTTGATTTGATGGTTAGAAATGCTGTGTAGGAGAAGACAAAATGCTAAACATGGTCAAGGTACCAGCTTTACTTCTGACTGTAATGCTAGGGAAGCCACCTGTTGTGTCTTGCTTGAGTGTCCCTGCCATGTATAAGATGGGTATAAAATATACATATGGTATGTTTCAGGTCATTTTAAAATAAACAAGCGGAATAATGTGAAACAAATTCACTTGAAGCTTCTTAGAACAAAACAGTAACAGAAGACTAGGTTTTTCAGTCATTATTTATTAATATCTTTCTTTTGGGAATGGATTCTTGTTTGCTTCATTGTTTGGACCAAATATCCTTTATCTTATTTGATTCATTGTGAGACAGAGTACAGAGACAGGCAGTGTGCTGTGTTCGGGAGACCCCTGATAACCGAGCCCTGAAATCGGAATGGATCCAAAACAGAACAGAACTAGGGCTCAAGCTAAAATTGTGTCTCCTTAGTTTGTTTTCCTTGTTTCATTTTCTTTCCTAGCTTCCTTTTGACAGTAAGCAAACATTTTTTTAATTCCTCTAAGTTACGAGCCAAATGGGGTAGATTTGAGGCCAAAATCAGAGAACAAGACCTAGTCTTTTCATTGTTCCCACATGGTTCTCATATCCTGACGTCCACCCATCAAATAAAGCTGCGTGTTTCTCCTCGTGTGTGCAGGTGAGATCTGAACCATAGCAAACAGAAAGGGCAGTGTAGGGACTTGGACTGGCAGGGAGGGACCCAACAGCAGTTTCCTAGTGGAATGTTCATGAGCTGTGTGATCTTCATAGACAAATAACTTGAGGGGTGTTATTTCAAGTGGCCATAAATTAAGAATATTCTCTGAGTAACTGTTTACTTTATAACAAAGGAAGCTTACTATAAGAGGAAAAGAATTTTATCTGATAAAGAATAATGTTTTAATGAAAGTATTATGTTTTAATTTTCATAAAACACGGGGAAAGGAGGTTCAAAATAAAGTTCTGTAAGTGACATCCTAAGTCCTGCAAAGGTGCCACATTGTCATACAATCTTTAAAATTAAATCACTCATGCCCATTATACTTATTTAATACTGTTTCATTTTCACACACTTGTAAACATGTACTTTCTCAGATGCAGTCTAAATTTTCAAAAGTACAAATTAACAAATTCTTATTTAATGATGCTCTGATTTATGAGATTTTACTATACTATACTTGATCAACTTGATTATTAGCAGTCATTTCTTGTACTAGCCAAAATGCATTGGCTGTTTTTTAGTAGTGACTGTGTGTGTGTGTGTGTGTGTGTGTATGTGTGTGTGTGTTGAAAGCTGGAACAAATTTTATGCCATCTCCTTAGTTACTATGGTTTCTTATTGTATTAGTTTACAACAGATGTGTTTAAATCTGATTATTTATGGTGGTGAAAAGTGAATGGATATAAATAAAAATTTATTATGCCATATGTTGTTACCAAAGGCATTTTAAATGCCTACTTCTTTTTTTAAAAAAGCTAATTATTCATTTAGGCTGTTTCTATATAAATTTAAGGTCAAATTTGTCCTTTTCTTCCAGTTAATATCTCAGTATCTAATGATACCACACTGTCCTTAGAGGATTATTCAGCTGTTTCTGCTACTGACATGGTAAGTGACTTAATATTTTAAAACCCTTATGTATTTACTGAATATTTTATATATTATTTGCAATATTCATAGTATGATGTTGCCTTCCATTCAGAAATCCTAGCATGAATGTGTTTAGTAATCATTGATTATGCAGGGAAAAGAAAGCATGCTCTTCTTTGCTCTAGTTAGCATTTGGGGGGTGTCTCTTAAAAAATCAAAGCCAATATTTAATTGTATTCTATGCTTTTCAAATTTTCATAAGAATTTAACTACTAGGATCCCATTAATTGTGACCTTGAAAGCAAGTGTTGTAGAAAAATGAGGGCAGAGTCTGTTCTCTGCATCTAGCGTGGGCCAGAAAGGCACTTGCTTAGGCTGACTGTAGCAAGACATTTCCCTTGTTGCTTAGAAAGGACTGTGCCCCCATCACATGATATCCTTTTCCATGGCTTGTAACCAAGGATTTGTAGGGACTGGAACTAAGCTTTCAAAAGAGCTATTTTGCATGGAAGGGCATACACTGGAAGGAGACTTTTATCTTGGAGAAGAAGGGGAAAGTGCTGTTTCACACTTTAATGTGGTCCTTCTGTGCCAAATATGGCCTCTTACCAAAGAATATCAATCTCCTGGTTATAGGAACAGAAAGCATAATACTTTGTGTTGATAGAGTGCCCGTCTCTTGGGAGACTGGAGTTCTGCTGTAGATATTTATGTAGTGAGAGCCCAGTGTCCCTTTCAAAGAGGAGGCTTTGTGTCCTTCCTGGAATTCTTGCATGATCGGGTCCCTCAATTGTCTTCATGTTCCACAGCGCTCTTGACTTCTTTCCTTACAGCTAGAGACTTTTCTGCCATTCTTCAAACCTTACTTCTGTTCTTCATGTTTGATAATGAGTGTGTGTGTGTGTGTGTGTGTGTGTGTGTGTGTGTGAGAGTGTATTAGAAATGCATTCAATTTTCAGGCTTTTAGCTAGCCAAACTCATGCCCACCAAAATTTGCCTAAAATGTGAGTTAAAATACTTCATTTAGATGTCACAGAGTTTTAATTAAAATTCTTGTGGTTAAAAACTCAATATGATCCATACATTCATTTATAGTAAAAGTTAATAAAATATTTACTTCTCCTGCCTAAAAAGACATCATTTCCTAACTAAAGTCTTTCTACAGCTGACCTAGGGAAGCTTTAATATTAGTGAATTTTTAAGCTGTGTCTTTGGGCAAGTCTTGGAAGAGATTCTAGTAATTGAAGCCTAAAGCATCACAGTAAGAGCCACGGAGACCAAATGAAAGCACAGGTTGACCTTTTTATTTTTTTGCAGAACTGGAGATTCAAACCAGTGCCTTTGTTTTAGTTTGAGTCAGGATCTCTCTAAATCACTAATGTCTCCAGGATGTGCTCCAACTTGTGATCCTCCTGCCTCAGACTTTCAGAATTTCAGGACTACAGACTTCACAGTGCCTTCCAGTAGGGCTACCATAGAGGATGTAGCAGTGTAATAATGATTCGTTTGTCCACCATTTATAGAGCATGTATACTAGAAGCCAGATATTTTACACATAATACAATCATATATTCTAATCAGTATTGTAGTCATCAATACAAAGTACCTGGCACAATTAGATCCATTTTATCAATACGAGAAACTGAAGCTTCAGAAGATAATCTTTCTTGCCCTAGGTCAAACAGCCTTATTTCTGTAGAATAAAGATTTGAATGGAAGGCTGAGTGGTTCTGAGACTGTACTATTTCACTATCTGTTTCAGTGTTTGCATATTGAACCGTTAGCCTTTTCAGTCTTATGTCCACTCAGTATTTCAGCATAAAAGGTCCCTCATATGTATATGTTTCATACTTTGTTCTGCACCCCTAGGGAAAGAAATTGTGCATGCGTGTGTGTGTGTGTGTGTGTGTGTGTGTATGTACATGTGTATGGTCATGAAGGATAATTTTTATTCTGTCTTTCATTTCTGTTTCTTCTCTTTCACCTGCAGTGGTATCTTCATGTGTACTTTGTACATGAGTGCACACAGGCACACATGTGGTACCCATGAATTGTGTAGGTTAAAAATCCAGAAATCAGAGTTAGAGGTAATATGACTTATCATCATCAATAATAACTACCACTGAATACCTATTAGATGACAGGATGTTTTCATTAATTTCTATATTATCAGGACTGGGGATTTAGCTCAGTGGTTCGGTGGTCTGCCTTGCAAGTGCAAGGACCCAAGTTCAATCCCCGGTACAAAAAAAAAAATTCTATGTTATCATAATAATTTGATAGGTTAGTAGATGTTACCTCTATTTTTTGTATGAATCAGAGGCTTGGAAAGGTAGCTGCCTTCTCAGGGTCTTATCATGATGATGGTCAAAGTGGGATTTGAACTTTGGGCTTTCTAACTCTACAACTCGCCCCATTTCCTTTGTGAAACTGCAGAGTGCTTCACATAGAAGGACTTAGGATTCAGCCAGTTCTTAAGTTAGTCCTGGCTTCAACTGCAGGGCTCCATGACGGCAGAGGCTATGGCTACTCTTCAGTGACCTATCCAACATGGTGGTGATAAGTGCTTACCTCTTAGGGGCTGTAGGGTTCAGTTAAAATCACTATCACGTGGCTGGCATGGAACCATCTCTCGGCCACTGTTAGAAACCGCCATAACTTTCCTCTCTCTACAAGGCTCTGCTGCCTCCACAACTCAGAAGTTAGTGGGGAGATGAAGCTACCGCTTCTGTAGGCTGCTGATGCCTCAGTTTCCTTGGCCAGGCCAACCCTGCTACCCTGAGCCCTGCCTAGCACATACAGTCATCATGACCTAATTTCCTCTTTCCTCTTCAACCATAATTAGATTATAAGAGAAAGCTCAGTAACAGTAACATGCAGCCCCGAGGCCATCCAGCCACCTCCCTCTTACGAGGCCCTGAGAGCATCCTGTCAGAGGGAGGAAGGTCTTTGTCCTTCAGCTTCATTAGCATGAAGACCAGCTCTCTTCTTCCATGGTATGGCTATGTTTTAGAGGGAAAGAGTAGTGAAAGAGGGACATTCAAGGGAAGTTTTCCAGCCTTGGCATTTACCGTTGGAACCACTATGTCTATAATTCTTCTCACTTTGGCCAGCTTTCCTATGCATTTCTCACTTGGCATTTCCCTTTAATCTGTAAACAGAACAGTTTAGAAGGACCCTGAAGCACATTAAGAGCAACTACAGTGTTTGCACACTGTATGCAAATGAGGACCTAAGGTCTACTGGCTTCCAGGATCCAGCTTGCAGAGAGATCAGACTTCACACTCAGGCACCAATCTTCTCTGTGGGGAGGATCAGTTAGCATATGTGCTCTATGTCAGACACTTTTTTGTTTTGTATTTTATTACACTGAGGCATTTGTTAAAATATAGAGTTCTAGGGCTGGGAATTTAGCTCTGTGGCACCACACCTGCAATCAGGTGCAAGGTCCCAAGTTTGATCCCTGGTTAAAAATATATATATATAGAGAGAGAGAAAGGGAGAGAGAAACAGAAAGAGAGACAGAGAGAGAGTGTGTGTGAGCGCACAAGAGCTCTAAAGTAGTCATTGAAAAGGCTTTGACACACAGTCACCTTCTGAACAAGCTGTAGCGCATTTCTGGCATCTCAGAAAGCCCCATGGGGTGCTCTGTGTTCTGCTCCATGCCTCAGCTGAGCTGTGAGAAACCCCATTCTTTGCCAATTACTCTTTTCCCAGCCTTCAGAGCACAGGTTCCTGAGTCCTTTCAGAAATCAGTTTCTCGCACCACATTCCTGTCTCCCATCTCCAGAACAGCTTTCTGCACAAATGGGAGGTTCCATGTGTCTCAGGGGGCTTCTCAGTGCTCCTGTCCACCTGTCATCTTTCATGTATCACTGGTGCACTTGGTGAGAACCAGGACACAGTTTAGTGAGTAAACACTAGGGCTCCTCTGAACCCTAACATATCACCCCATTTACACGCAGCCATTGGGAGTTCTTTAGCAATTTGGATAATTTCTCCTTATCTCTGTCACTAGTGGTTGTATCTTCTACCTGCTGCTCTATGGCAAAAGGTGGCCGTGGGATCTTCGCTTGTGGATGATGACACTTTGGAGTTTTGTTTGTTTGGGTTTTTTTAAATCCTCACTTTTGGTGAATTTTTTAAAAACTATAGCTTTATAACTTACCTTGCTTGAGTTGTTATGGCGGGGTGATGGTGTCATACAGCATTTTTTTGTTTGTTTCAGTCCTGGGGATTGGACTCAGGGTCTCATTCATACTAGGCAAGTGCTCTACCACTGAGCTACATCCCTAGTTGTTTTTAAATTTTGTTTTGGGGCAAGGTCTTAATAAGACCCCAGGCTGGCTTTGAACTTAGGATTCTCACTCCAGCTTCTTTACTAGCTGGCATTTTAGGTATGCATTGCCAGGCCTGACTACAACCTTAAAAAAATAGTATTGATCAAGCAGAACAGCTATATTTGATATCTCACAACACTGCAGATAACTGCAGCTCACATGCATGTTGTAAATGATAAAGTAAGACTGAAGATTATACAAAGCTAGCTTACTCACTGTGGGGGAAAAACCCCTAAATTAGTACATCAGGTATTTAACCTGGAACTTTTGTTTATAGTTTCTCTCAATTATAATATATTTTTTTCAAGTTTTTTTTTCTTGCACTTCTGAGGCAGGCGGTGGCACCACTGAGCTAAATCCCCAGCCCATCTCTCAATTATATTTTAATTGAATCTGCACACAGAGGACATGCATATATTTTAAAAGTAGGTACTCGAGGAAAGAAATTTAGAAATTTTACTTATTTTTTTCTCACTGTATTAGTCAGTGAAGCATATCACATCTACATGGAGATGCTGTTAATTGTAGGACTAAGAACTATTACAGTCACATAAATTCTGCTTGACAGTCAGACATGGAAGCAAAAGTGGTTTGATTTGATGTCCCTTCAGGGTGATTCTAAGAGTTAGCATTCATTTTCACAGGAAATGGAATGTCATATTAATCTTGTGCATAGCA